GCGCCTGATTGAAGTATCCTTGGTGTTTCATAACTGGTTCATTGAATTCAATGAGGAGTTGGATAACTTCGAACCCGAGTTCTTCCCCGAGTGGATGCACATCGGTGGCGACACAGTCTTCGATGAGGAGCTGAACCAAGTCGATGGTGCACCTGCAAAACGCGCTCGGGATATGATCAAGCTGTATTTAAGCCAACATGTTAGTATATAAGTATAATTCATCTTTATCGCATCTTCGCATCGTTTCATCGCCTTATTAATTACATTGCACAAACATGCATTATATTTCAAATTATTGTATTACTTAGAATTTACTTTGGAGAAGACCATAACAATTACATTTCAAATTGTTGTAATGTTTAGAATTTACCCTGGAGAAACTCGAGCATTTTGTCGTTGACGTCATTGGTTTTATCGATGCTGGATTTTGTTTCCTCCATAAGATCCAATAGCTTTGTCATTTGTTCTGACATATCCACGCCAGAGCTGCGGGAGTTCTTCACCTTGGCTGCCTCAATGAGTCCACTCGCCAGTGCTTCTCCGAGGTTATTGAGCCCCGCCGCAAGGTCTGGATTCTGCTTCTTGCGCATTTGGCGCTGGCGCTGCATCTCCAAGTCGATTTCAACCTTCCGCTTGTTTTGTTGCTTGGAGCCAGGGGCATGCAAGTCCTCTAGCACTTCGACGTCGTCTTCGGCGCCTGGGCTAGCACTGGGGGCACGCTCCATGCCAAACTAACTCGATGTCTCCGAGCCCATGCAAATCCGCAAATGCAACCAACATCTCCGAGTAGTAGCTCGGCTTAGGGGGGGTCGACAGCTCGTCGTTGCCAGTGGCTGTCAAGCTATGCTGGATCGCAACGAACTCCGACCGCAACTTTCGCAACTTGTTCTTGAGTGAATCGACTGAGATCTTGTGTATAATAAGATCTTTGCATTACGTATGATATATTTGGTACCTGGCTGTTCAGTCAAAATGTTAAACCGTAAGGCAAGTTTTTCCCAGAGTACATGCAGTTGCTTGCTGGACAGGTCGGCATTAAACGATGCGCGAAATCCAGTGAATCGTAGCTCGAGTAGTGCGTTTACCATGGTACCATGGTACCATGGTGTGTGTGTACACAACCGGGGCCTCACTTGCCGTGTCAACAAGGCTTGTCGCCATCGACGATGCAATGCTAGGCGTGGAAGGTTTGGTTGAGATACGTTTCTTGGGCGTTGTCGTAGGTGCGACGTCGTTGTCTCCCTGCAACTGCGGCGGTTGATGCGACAACTGCGGCGGTTGATGCGACAGCTGCTGCTGAAGCAGCTGAACTTGCTCGAGGAGCTGGGCCTTGATCATCTTTACCATTGGTTTTAGAAGCATGTTGATGGAAATTTACAATGTGTTCCAATGCGACTGTGCTATGATTGGTCACAATTTGGGCCAATAAGACTGAATAATATCAACACTGGTGGACAAGAATGAGGTAGCGAATGACGTGAAATACAAATTTGGATCATTCTTGGTCATTCTTATCCTATTGGTCGGAACAGGTTCTAAGTGGGTGGGACTAATTGCTTGCTACGATGAGTACACCTAACGTTAAGTAACGTTGAGATGGCCACAACAAATCAACACACACTGTCAACGTTTTACAACGTAATCGAACCACCTGAACAAACCTTCAACTCGAAGTTTACGTAACGTAAATCATAATAACGTTATGTAACGTTGGCTGCCCAACCAACTACTTCGAGGGCTTGCCCGTCACTTGTGACGATTGCTTGCGAGACCGCTTTACACTTGTTGTCGTGTGTCCCTGGGAGCTGAATAAAGCATGAAGCCCGCGGGAACCCTCGGTGCACGGATTGGACTTGACGTGAGAATTTCAGTAGCATCCGAGTGCTCCCCACATGCACCGTCTTCGTCGTTACCGCCAAGGTCACCATCACCCCCGAAGTTAAGACCGGTGTCCCGGGCGACACCCTCATGGTTCCCTAGCAAACTATTTATCACCGACTAATGTAAAGTGTCGTACCTTCGTGTCGCTGTATTGTCGCCTTCAAACTTGCAATCGGGTTGCCCCCAAGAAGGCGGCAAACTTCGGCCGCTGCACGGGCCACCCCGGTATATACAGAGTAGGCAAGCTCTCACTGCACGGGCCACTCCGGTATATTCGCAAGCTCCATCCACCAGACCAGTCTAGTTCGCAATATAAGCTTGGGAAGCTGTAGGGCAGAAGTAGATATCTACTATGCACGGCTAATAAAGGCATTCGTTTTGCGTGGAGTAGTTGTGTAGTCTAAGCATTGAGGCATCCCATGCACCTTGACCGTACTTCCCTTGATAAGCTATATGAGTGGATAACATGACGAATACGACAACTCCATCCGACATTGCTGTGATTGGCTCATACGACAATGCCGACAACGCCATGATTGGTCAATAAAAAGGAATATTGGATACTTTTGCCATCCAAGAAGTAGAGGGGATACCCCTTCAACTTACATTGGTCCACCAGGATTCCCTATTGGGCATGAACCGTCGCAAAATAAGGGTACCAGTCATTGCAATTGGTCCCGAGTTCAATCCCCTGCAAGCGCGAAATTAAGTGCATGCATTACAAAATATGAAAATGTTCTACATGGTACCACTACGATTTCTAAGTCTGACCTCTCGGAGAATTCTAGCATACGACGCAGTAATCCCGAATACGCAGCTTCGAATTGATCAAACGTTTGGAACTTGCTGAAAGCCATGGCCAACGTCAGCCGCTCAGAGTACTTCTTCCTGTCAAGTTTAATCATGTCCTTGGTGTAGTCTTTCAGCGCGCACACCAAGCCAATGTTTGGGTCAGCAACAAACCATTGTTGCCACGCCTCACGTGCCGAGTGAGCAGTTGGGATTGACTTTTGTGCAACATACATGTCCATTGACCGTTGTGTTCTCACTTTCGTAGGAACATGTCTGCCCACAGTGTGCTCTTGCAAGGACTTTGCCAACACCTGCCCAACAGCATCCACGGTCAACGGCAAGCCAACAGCCCCAACCTCTGGCCACTGCGTCGAATGCTGAAATTTGGAGGTACGAAGCAGGTTGCGAGGACCGATGTCATTGCTAATGCTCTGAGTTACGAGGTACTCACAACAGGTCTTTGCGTCCAACGACACCACGCCATGAGCTCACTGAAATTGAAACGGCGCTCCTTTGATTCGAACACACGGTAAAATGACCCCCCACGGCGAAGGCTATGCAGTGATATTCCAATGGGTAGGTCGGGCGTTGCATCCACCAGGTCACCCAACCACTTACGCAAATTGGCTTGCTCCAGGCCACGATACCACTCAACCTTTGGCACCCCATTGTGCTGCATTACGACATTTGGAAATACAAAGGCAGTGATTGTAAAGTTCACACAGCAAGCCCGCAGCTTGGCAGTATAGTCGTCGTGGAAGCCACACACGAGAAGGCATGGGAACGAAGTTTCGTCACAAGGTGGTACACTTGACAGTCTTCCTCGACGCCGGTCTTCTTGTGCCAACGAGTAGTACCGATAGGTACCTTCCGTTTGAATCCGACACGATTTGCACATCATTCCACCGTAGGGCAAGTACTGGAAGAAACCGAGAAAGCTCACAGCCAAGTGAAATCGCAACATTGAGCCCAAGAACGGATGCTGACTGGCCAATACGTTGACAAGTGTTGAGAGCTCCTACATGGTGAATGGATGGGCCTTCTTTTCCTCGTCCACATTGTTCTGCTTGTTGTACTTCTGAAGGCCAACGATGTATTGGCGCGCTGTTGTGTCCTGTGCTGGGTTTGGCGCCACTCGTCTGGTGTTGAAATAGGCAACAAGGGATGACTTAGCCAAGTCGATGGTCCTCATCTTCTTGCCCTGGCTGTACAGGTAGTGAAAGAAGTCAGTACATTCCTCAGTCCCAGCCGTGGTAGGGTCAATACCGCCTTTCTATGTTTGCAGAAACATCTAGAATTGTTCTTGATACGTGGTGTAGGCGCGTCGAGTAGATGCACCGTGAAAAGACTCCTGGATAGTCTTCTTCGATGGGACCTTGGGCTGCCGCGTTGGAGTCATGTTATTAATGGTAGATACGAAACCTCCGTCTTTTGGATTATAGCCAATTATATCTCGTTATTGCATTATGTCGATGATATGTGTCTAGACGACAGTCACATCGACCAATAGGATACGTTTCGTCCAATTACAGATCATTCTCTTGTCGGTCATCCAATACATTCGCTAGAAAATGTCGGTTCGATGTCGGTTACTACCTACATGTGTAGATAAAATGGCAAACGCGATAAATCCACCGACAATTACCTGATTGGTCAATTCTATAAAAAGAAATATTCATTAAAAATCTTAACCAATTGGTCCGCCAGGTTTAGGGGTACCTGTCGTGAAATCACAAGGAACATTCCTCGCAGTGTTTCGTTTTCGATTTAACATGACGGGCAATGCAAAGGGCACTCTTTCTGTATTGCCTCCGGGCGAATTTAAAAACAATTTGAATGTGTTGTGTCGCTTAAACCAAATATACTTGACGTGGGCATCACCTATTTTGACGCACATTTGTGTATCACCACCGATTTGAGCGCGAAGGTCAAGTGTTTGAAGCATAGGACCAATAAGTCTCAAAATACAAACAACCCCCGTTAACTTCATTCTTCATCCCATCCCGCTGTTCCCGCTGTTCGTACCCCACCCACAGCCTATGCCATGAATGTCCGCTACAACCTGGGTGACCTAGGGAACTTTACGTTCGACAGCGTCATGCAGGTTACGGTGAATGACGCTGACTACCTGCGCTAGTGCATTAGTGTAGGGCTCCTTAATAGCTATATGCTCTGCCCGAACTGTGCAAAGGATATAAGGTTGTCTGGCCCCAGTTAACGCTGGCGTTGCCGACGAGCAACGTGTGGATCCATTGAACGAAGTGTGAAGTCTGGAACGTTTTTCTCAAAGTCGAATCTTTCGAACTGTGCGTATTACGCGGTATTGGGCCTCGCAACGCCCGGTAGCCGAAGTGATCGAATACCTACGTGTGGTCTTGGCAACCGCCACGGACTAGTACAACTTTTGTTGCGTTGTCTACTCTAAAGAAATACTTTCGATCAAAATGAAGACTAAAGCCGGTGTTATCTGCACTCATTGGAAAACACATACGACCTGGAACGTTGATCATGTCTGATAAGTTCGGGTCGTATGTGTCCACCAATGAGCGCACATACAAGGCATTAGGGGGAGTCAATTTAGGAAATTTCCGCTTTTCGTTCGATTGTGATAAACAAAGTTATATTCTTTTGTATTTTTATTTGCTTCCACAAAATGCAATGTGGAGTCAATTTGGCCCTCGAAAGTCACTCGTACAGTGTACTACTTCCTCCGTTCCTGAAAGATGTTGTGGAAGAATACTCAGAACCTCAACTCAGTCCAAAATAACCAAAATTAATTCTAATTAGGCTTTTCGTGTAGGAATTACACACAGGAATACGTATCCTATTTTGGGATTTTTTTATTGTTCATGGTTGCCAAGATATCCAAACTTAAAATTACACGACCAGACCAGCGACTTTTCAAAAGTTCGCCACTCGCTCAATACTGCTCTGCTTTCGCTGCAATTAGTGGCAATCGATAACTTAGATATCGTAGATATGCTTACGACCTCATAGAATACGACAGTTAGTTTTGCTTAACGCGTTATTCATGTTTTAAAACGGTTCCTCCCACGACCAAGCAGTGATCGTGTTTAATTTGGGATTCGACCGATCCAACCCGGTTGCAAGATCAATTGATGAAAGCTTCGAGTGTGCACAACCTCAGGTGGCACTATAAGTGCTGTACGAGATTCATCACTAGGAACACGATGAGGAGACGTGTGTTGCTACTGATGCTAACTGCTTTGTACAAGACAGTATTAGCTCGACGAGGATTGTCAAATTGAAGGCAACTTGTCAACTTCCACGTACTATGAGTCGATTCTGGTGCACCATATCGTGTTGCCCTTCGTCGTATTTTGGTAATAATGAATAAAAATACACCAATCATATGTTTTTTGTAACCAAAACAATACAAACTCTCATATAAATTATCCATCGAAATCATCCACAACTTTTGTCTGGAACAGAGGAAGTAGTACACTGTGACCGCATTCAATAGAGGGGTGACGTCAGGTAGGGAGGGTTGGAATTCTCGTTGTCGTCGACTGTCGAAGGCTTTCGAATGGCGGTGTCCAATTTGGACACTTCGATTACGACCCACACTGCACGGTCGTCTTATTCGACGACGAAGTAGTTAGATATGATTCTACTGTAACTCATCGTGCTCTTAAGCACGCGCT